TCTATTCATCAATGTAGCATAACTAGGATCTTGATTTCTTTCTTTTTGTTCAAATATATATATATATATATAATAATGTTATTATTTAACGATTTGTTAGTTTGAATGAAAAAAATTCAATTCTTTTTAAATAAAATCTTAAATTCAAATATTATGAATAAATAAACAAGTGTTAGGAGAACTTGATCCTTATAGGATTCGACTTTGCTTGACTCTGAAATAGTCAAGGCCAATAAGGTTTCTGAATAACAGTAGGTTTAGTATCAAAGAAAGTAATATTATTTAATAATAATAATAATACAACCATCTTAACTTTGACCCAATATGTTGGATTTAAAATGATCCAAACTAATATTTGAATCAATCTTACCTTAAATGGGCCACATCTATCTATTAAAATCATCCTAGCCCAAGACATGTACAGAGAAAGGTCTGGGCCCCATATTTACCAAATATGGCACTTGGGCACAGTCTGGCTTTCTTTTGTGAACAACAATGGAGATGATGTTGCAATTCCAAGAGAGCAAGGGGCGTTGGATGGTGGCTCAAAGAGAGAGACGCAAACATTGTGTGAGAGACTAAAGGGGAAGATATTGGTGCCCATTCTATATTTTCTCCGGTTATGGGTATGCTATTGGGTTTGGTTAAATCTATAATGGAAAAGGAGGACACAAAAGGGAAAGGAGAAGGTCACGCTAGAAGGGGAATGGGGAAAGACTCTGACTGGGGACATTTGTCGAATCTCTTCCATATGTAATCAAAATCACTTTTTTTTTTTTAACTTTTTTTTTTTACTATTATTATTTGTTTTATCGCCCTTCAATTTCCTTTTTTTATTTAAACTGGTAGCTTTAATTTTCTTGCAAATCTCTACTTTATGAAACCAAAAGTATGAGCAGAGATTCATAGTTAAAAAAAAAAAAACCTTCCTTCAGTCTTTATCCATCCAGTCAGTACTTCTTTATTATTTTCCAAATTTTGAATATAACACATTAGATATGTTGTTTTATTGCTATTGTCAACTTCTCAGATGTGGAATGTATGGAAAATAGCACGTAAACACTTGAATGCATTAAATTGAGCATGAGAAAGTAAATATGGATAGTTAGTAGCTATTGCTTTCTTCAACTAACTCTTGGACTCCAGAATCTTGGATTGCTGTCTATTTTTATGGTTTCGTCCTTGAGTGGTTGATTAGATCAGTTATCTTATCTTTTTCTTTTTCTGTTTTCCTTTTTTCTTCCTGTCCCTCTCTTTTGAAGTTTAAGTTTGTTTTATAGTCAAAATTTTGACTATTGATTGGTGGTTATTTGTATGAATCTCATCATATTTGCCAACAACATGTAAATCCCTTGGGTTTTTGTGTGTCCTCTGCTATTTTAAGAAGATGCCAACTGTTCCTCTCCTTGTTTGGTTTTAATTTTAAACATGAACACTAACTTCACAGTGTTATACCTTTCTATCTTTGATCTAAGTTTAAATTTGATGTCATGTTGTGTTTATTGGTTAATGGGTAGCCCATTTTAACAATTAGAGATTCTTTGCCCAATTTGAAAAGTTATGAAAGTGAGGCCTGCATTATTGTTGAGGTTTTTATTTATTTATTTATTTTTACCAAACCCCTCAACTTTATTGAATCTGGTTAATTTGAAGTTGAGTCAAGTCAAATTCCATAAGAAAGAAAGTTCTTCCGACGTTTATTCTTCCATTCATAAGATTCAAACTTAAAACCTTACTGAAAAGAGATCAAACTTCTACTCAAACTAACAAGTTATTGGTATTGTTGAGATTTTACTGTTTGTCATTTTTTCAAGTACTTCTTTGCCCTTTCATTTTTTATTTTTTAATCCTACAACAGCGTTTGCTAATCCACCTCTTCTCCTTTCGCGACGCAAGAGTAAAATGTAGCAATCAAACTATATTGAAGAAAAACATGACAAGAATCTTTATTATTATTTATTTTTAAAAAAAAGAAACTTAATTCTTACATTTGATTGTATACCTGGAAGTTCGGAACAATGTAAAATTCATATGTTACATTTTTCTGCCCATCCTAATGTGCCCACATTATTCTAATAATAATAATTATTCTTTTATTTTTGTTAACCACTTATGATAAAAAGTCAGGACATTTGGATTTGGAGGGATGAACACCATGATGGCTATTCAGTACTCTCAGCATATGATAGGCTGTCTTCGGAATCAAGGGAAGTAGAAGCTGTTACAAACACAACAATTTGGTATAAGCATGTCTCCCTTAAAGTGGCAGCCTTTGTATGGAGAGCACTGCAAAACAGAATATCAACAAAAGAAAACTTGCTGCTAAGAGGAGTTAAAATTCAAAATAATGATTCCTCTTGTACGTACTGTGCACAGGCACTTGATACCGCTTATCATTTACCCTTCGAATGCGAAACATCATGGCTGATTTGGTCTTCTTGTTACGAATGGTGGGGCATACAAGTGGCATCACAAAGAGAATTGTAATCCTATTAATAATAAAGATTATTTTTTTATTAAAAAAATCAAAATTAATAAATACTTAAACCTATTCTCTAATCAAATACTCAAATAATGAAAAGTTAAGGTTAGTTACATCTTACAAGTAAAAAATCTCTTATTAATAAAATGAGTGATTTTAATCTCACACAAATTGAGGTGTCTCCATCTCTCCATCGTGGTTCTGTGATCAAGGGGAGGAAACCTTTTTGATAAAATTAAACTAGGGTTTTCTTTATTCACATAATCAGTTTAATTGGTGTTAAAGGAATATCGATGGTGTTTTAACCACTATTTCTCTCTGTTATTTTATTTAATCTAAATGGGTTCGTGCTATTTTTTTTCTCTTCCTGCATTTGGGTCGGGGAGTCCTTACCCCTCATATGGTGTCGCACATCCGTTTTCTGGATCCTCTTCAACCTGATCAATCGAAACTCTTCCATAAGATTAACACGTTGTCTTGCAATCCCACTTAGCTCTGCTCTTGTGTTCCTCCAAACGAGCTTATTTTGAGCTTCCCGCAACAACAAAGGATTGGAAAAAAGGACCTTATTTTCCACATCCAAAACATCATTCATAGAATGGTTCAAATTTCAACCACGCAATAAATGAAAATTAAGTGGAGCATATATTATGTCTCATTCATGATATAGTTTTGATTAAATGTTTTAATAATTTTTATTATTAAAATATCTTAATTTTTTATTTTCTATATTTTATACAAATTATTAGAAAAGTATAATAAATTTGTATTTAACTTATACAAACATTAGTAATTTTAAAAAACAAACCTATACAAAGATTAGAAAAACCTTCAAATAAAAGTTTTTTTTTT